CCCGATCCCGGTGTGGGGACGGTGCTCTCCCCGATCCCGGTGTGGGGGCCCCTCAGGGCGTGGAACCAGCGGGGGCTCCGTGACGGCCCCGCCCGCCCGCCAGGGGGCGCCATGGCGCAGCGGCCGCCTCAGGGGCTGCCGCGGGCGGTGCCGCGTCCCGGCCGTGTCCGCGCCGTGCGGGAGCCGGGATCGGGAGCCGGGGTCGGGAACACCTTCAGCCTCGTTTCGTGCCGGACATGGGCAGCAGCTGCATGGGGAACGCCCGGTGCGGATGTGACATGACATACCGGGCGGGCGCTTCGGGCGGTGCGCGTCGGGAATGACGCCAGTGACACCAGCGCAGTGACAGCGGGTCGCGCTGGGGGCAGACACTTTGCAGGTTCTGAAAATGTTGAATTATTTGGCAAAAAAACCACTGTTTTTTTAGTATTTATTTTGTCAAAAATCCATCTGAAAATGTTGCTACTTCAGATGTAGCAAATTAGATTAAAAATGTATTTTAAATCATCTATTAATTTATCTTACGCTGTTGCCAGTTTATTGAAGTTTTGATGGGCAATTTAAGTAAGGCCGCTATAGAAAATGGGCGGTTATTGCTGCACACACAATTGGTCTGTATCCTTGGAATTCTATAAGACTTTGCTGCACTAAATAACAGCTGTTAATGCCTGTGGAGTATCTTTAGTATGCACGATTCATAGTACTTTGCAAATCATTAAAACATTACATTGTTTCACAAACAATGCCATGTACGTCACAGAGGAGCCAAGACACACACTGGGAGCAGACTGCCGAGAAGACTGAAATAATGAGCTCATCCTTTGACCCCATTTTGATGACTCTTTGACCCAAAAAGTGGGTAGTGCTTGATAGGCGGGTAAGGCTGAAAATCAGGGCCTCTGAGGAGATTACAAATTGCATGCAGGAAACCTTAGAACCTCTGGTGTTCACGTCAGGCTCAGAAAACTATCCATGGTTTCGATATTTATTGAAATACACCTGACATCTGTTAGAAAGGAGGGATCCTTGCTGTCAGCTCTGCTATTCTGAGAGTACAGAATGCAGTACAGCAAGCATATGCAAAGTCTGACCTTTGTGTCAAAGTTAAATGACCCTGGTCTTGCTCCCTGCAGTTTTGGAGAGGTGGCGAAGCTTCTGGGTTTCACCATTGACCTTATCCTCACCTTTTGAGAAAAAATGTTGTGGACTAACTAGGAAGAGTACTAAATGATGAGATCTTCATTTTCCATAGTTACAGAAGCTTTACCAAACCACATCTAATGTTACTCTGTCAATAGCCAACTGCAAGCCCTTGTTAACTTTTGCAGAGTTACCATCAAGGCCCTTGACCTGATTCTGCCAGAGAGCTCCAGGCAGTTTTAGATATCTGTTCTCACAATATCATTTGTCAGACTGAGGTTTTGGCTTACAGAAGATCAGAAAGAAGAACAGTTATCAACCCATTGCCAAGTCATCATTTCAGTGAGAGAGCACAGCGAAAGAAAACTGTTACTACCTCTTTCAAATGTTACGTTATTTTAACTAATTTCACCCTCAGTGTTATTTGCCACTTATTAATGTTCATTTACAAACAGAAGGAAAAAACCTCCTACACGTTGATAAAAATGGGTTTTGAAATACTTTCGTTATAGTAAATAATTAAATAAATTGGAGAGAAGCCTGGATTATGTAAATCTGTACACTGTGAAAACTGCCAATAGATATATAGAGAGTCTCAGGAAAGACACAAGTTTCATTATTGCCCACAACTCAGGACCAGGTCCATACCAAGTGAACACATATGACCCTGATCCTGCAATTGCACATCTGGGGCCAAAACCATACAGAGAATTTTTCTGGATTTTTTTTCATGTATTTACAGATTTGCATTTAAACTTGCTGCCTACTTTAAGTCTCTTGTTTAGAGAGGTGTGATGGGTTACTAGTTTTTTAATATTTTAGAAGTCTTACGTTCATCTGCTTTGTTCCTTCTGAACTTCTGGCCTCTTTAAGATGTTTCAATTTGACACCTAAAAATTGAGATGCTAATGACTTCTGATGCTTTGATAGCAGTACAGTGTGTTGTATTGTTAAATGTATTTTGATTTATGTCTTTCTTAGTGCAGTTAATAATTTTGCCTACAGTTAGCTGGAGTGGCCTGCAGCTGCTCCCCTGAAATCTGTGGGAGTCTTTTAGCTCTGACGCCAGCATGAGCCAGGCTGTGCTCTAACCTAGAGACCATGCAGCTGGCTTTTAACATACTTAGCTGGGTATGAAATCATTGTATTAGTCAGAACAATGAGGAGGCAGAGGCAAAGCTAAAATTGAGGCTTTAAGGATCTGACTCATTCAGTTTCTGGCACAAGGAGGTGCAAATTGCACTTCCTGATTTTGCTGCGCACCTACCAAACCCCAATTACAGCACACCCCAAATGTGCTGTGCTCTGAAAAGACCCACTCACTGCGTCAGCACATACCCATGTAACCTGCATGTTGTTGCTCTCGTTGCTGATGTACCATTTGGAAGCTGATGTTTGAAGGGTGTTAGCTGGAAGATGGCTGTGTGTTGCTGCAATTCTCCATGCCAGTTTTGCAGTCTTTGCCACCCCGAGAGCCCAGCTTGTAGTGCTGGTACCCTGAGAGTCTTCAGTTGGACAATAACCTGACAGATGCAGAGCCTCCATCCTCTCTGCTGGCAATAAGCAGCATATTGCCTAGTGGGTTTTTTTCTCAGAGATAGCGATAAGATGGCTTCTCAGACATGTTCTATTTGTTCCATCAACCAGAATATGTTATTACCCCAAGTCCATACAATTATATACCAAAAAAGAAAAAAAAAAGCCCAAAGCTGGCAAACCCACTGTTGTCTTGCTGAAAGCATGTTGCAGCCCCTTTCAAGTCACAAGCCCTGTCTGGGAAGTATCAACAAAATGCAGTGAGTTGTAGTCATGTGGGTCAGATTCAGCAGGTCCTGTGCTTGGAGGCAGCCCCACAGTGCACTCAGCATGAAGAGCCAGCCAAAGGAAATTCTGCCTGCAGATCTGTGCTGGTTACAGCAAAGGAGAAGCTTTTGAGGGCAAGTCAGAGAAGATGGTAGGCACATTTTACCCAGTGCTCTCGTCATTCCTGATGCAGACATCCCTGCTTGCTGGTTTGCTACATGACATACCAGCCTGCAGCTGGTAGTGAAGCTGAACACAGCAAGGCATGCTGCAGCTAATTATTTAGGACTTTCATAAACATCTACTTTGGGGAAAAGACTATTGTCATTCTAAAGCTTGGGACCAAAATTTTGATGAAAATATGGAGGTTTTGTGGTTGTTACACACATTTTCCAAGCCACTTCTGTTTTTCTTCCACAGTTAAAATGCACTAAGTACATTTGAGATTCTCAAAAGATATGAAGAGAGACCCAGGAAGGATTTTTCATTAAAGGTTAGTTTTTCAGTTGAACTGTTATTTACATGTATTTATTTCTACAGCATTTAGGAGATGCTCTCTAGAACCTCCCTGGACAAATGGAAGGCCATAAGACTCCATAAAAACAGCAGTAATTCAATCTCAGCTGCAGAATTGAATAATAAGCAGTAAGAATGATGTAGAGCTCAATCACACCTTTCATATTGCTTAGCTATACTTACCTTACTGAGTACAGACCTTGTAAGAATCAGTTAATCTATTTCCCATGGGCTATTCTATTCCCTATTCCTTCTCATATTACTTTTAATATTCCATTATTAAGGAGGATTTATTTCTAAAATATTTTTAGACATTTCTTAGAAAATTTTGAAACAGCTTTGAAGTCTTGTCTTTGAGCTGTTTAAGTTGGCTGAAGGGACAGGTGAGGTGAACTACATGCAATTAAATACTTTATATAATTTGTGGCATAAGAAACATATCAAAAGCTCTTTTTTTTTCCTATTCTACCTGAGTGGAAGAAAGATTTTTGTAAGGTTTTCAGAGAGGAATGCTAGAAAACATATTGGAAACCCAAAGAATATCGTCAGAGTGATCAAATGTCCTCCCCAAATAACAAAAAAAAAAGACAATGATGATGTATGTTCCCTTTTCTGTGAATCAGAGCAGCTAAATTGCATACAATATGTCTTAGGCTATTAACAGGTATTTTCCTTAACACAACTAATTAATTAGGAGATTTGCATGATAAGTAAGAGGATCTGAGTTTTGTTACTTTGTTTCTCTAAAATTTTAGGCCACATTAAATCTATGATAGCTGTGAGGTTATTGTATTTATTAAAATATTTGTATCTCTTACTATTACTTTTTTGAGTCTGTGGTGGCATAAAAAATTGTAAATGCCTCAAGAAGGACTCACATTCTAAATAAGTAATGACATCCTAGACATTTTGGGTTTAAAGTGACTTTTCTATTTTAGCTTCTCTTTAATTTTTCTTGCTTCTTTTGCTTCTTCTTTTACAAGGAGCAGTATTTTAACAACACGGAGAAGGAAACAGATGCATGAACTACTCCAGTTTCAACAGAGCCAAAATACAAGGTAGGTTAACTTTTTTTGAATATACAGTCAAGTTATTATCCTTTAATTATCAGGTGTTGGTAGGCATGAGTGTACTGTTGAAATGGATATCTTTTTTTTAAATTCATGTTTTCCAACTAGAAGTCTGGTTATTCCCCACATAAAATTCCTATCAATAAAGGGATGAATTTAAGACTACAGTTTGTGTTACACTCAAAGAATGAAACTATACCCAGTAGCCTAAACATCAAAAGAATGGGAATACCACAGATTATTTATCTCAGTAGTAAGAAAAACTATTTCTGAGAAATATACTTATATACTTAAACTCTGCAAGGTATATTTGAAGATTACTCTTAATATTATTCAGGCAGTCTGATCTCTAAGATTTGAGTCATATATGTCTTTATTGCCTCAGTAAGTTCAAACTTATAAAATTTTCCTACTTCTGAATTATATTTAGTTCATCATTCTCATAATTTAAATTCACCATATTCTTATACTCTATTTGTATTGTGAACCTTCTTCAAATGATACTTTTTAAATTTGGGAATAGATCATTGGTACCAAACCAAAATACTTTTGAATGTGTCCTGTCTTCTAAACATTTTATCTATAGCTAACAACTTTCTTTCTCATGAGTCTGAATAAAACTGCAACACAAACTGGAAAGCATTCAGCATCAGTTCCCACGCTTCCATCTCAAGCCAGTCCTGTCCAATTGAAACCAGCAGTACCCTTTGGCTTCAGTGGAAGAGAGTCCATTATTTTAGCTAGAATTATACATAATTTTCTGGCATCATGTACTTTGGTCTCTGGTAGATTTTTGCATCTAGGCACAGTAAAGAAATCAGATGGTATCCTTCTAGGCAGCTAGGTTTCCTTTGTTGTGAGATATGAGAAGGCTCATAGTGGTCCCAGGCAAGAAGAAACAAAAAAACCCCCAGCTATCAGGAGTTTAGATCATAAATAACAGAACATTTGGGGTACATATATAATAGTTCTGGGAGGAAATATGTCATCAAGATTTAAGTAAATAAGGCACTTTTGCACTGTAGAGACATTGTTGTCTTTAAACAATGTAGTGGTTGTATTAGTCCTGTCTTGCCACAAGATGTTGTTCCTGCTGGTACTGTATCTCATACATGGCAGAACAGTCAACAGGCATATTGCAAATGTGCAATATGATTAGATGCAGTCAGCCTTGTGACATTACAGACAGTTTTGAAGTTCCTTATCTGAACATCAGTCTGACCTGTTGGCAAGTGATGCCTTCCTGGCATCTCACATTGTAATCCACATTTTTTCTTGTTTGAAGGCTCTCCTGTATCATTGTAACGAAGGATTACAATTAGAATCAGGCCAGAATCAGAGCTGCTCATATGGTGCTATTTGGGATGAACTTCAGTTTCCTAAATAGAGGCTTCAATGTCTTTTAAAAAACCCCACCCTGAGTTGCCCAAGACATCCATATGGGGCCTGTCGGATATGATGGGGCTGTCAGAATAAGGAGATGCTTATTTCTGGAGCACAAAGTTGTTGAAATGTGTGACACTCCATCGCTGCCTCTTTTTAGGTAGGTGAAATCCCCTGGGTACCGTGAGCAGACGGTGCAGAGTCACTACTGGCACAGCTGCCCCCACTGTGGAAAGGGAAGCTCCTTCTCATGTCCCACAGCAGCATTCCTGGCTGCAGGAAGAACCATCCCAGGCACCTGAGACACGGACACTTCACCGTACAGGCTAAGCAGCGAGAGCATACAGGGTCCTGAATGTCAGACTGGACTGCCTCTCTTGAGAGGGTGGAGTTTGCTTCTGCTGGGTGTGTATTCCTTTTGATTTGCATTGATTTTGATTCCTTTTGATTTGCACCAGACCACTTCAGACGCTAAATATATAAGTATTATAAATCTTTCTGTTTCCACAGTGACTAAACATCACTTTCAGATTATTAAATATTTCCAAATATGCTTAGTCAAAATGAGTATGGAGTCTTGAAAGTCAATGAATGTAGCAATTATAGAAGAAAGGATAAGACAAGGTAGAGTGGTAATCTGATTTTAATTTCCTTTAAATCTTTCCTAATTTATTTATCAGTGTAATGCCCATTGGTAGTGCCTGAAATAATACAACTAACATATATAATGGGTTTATTATTTTGCATAAGTCCCAAAATGAAAGAGTTTTACTTTTGTAGATAGTCTAATTAAAAAGTCCAAATGAAATCTGTGGTGCTTTTAAACTGAAGCTTTAACTTCATGTATAAACATTGCTGATGCACAAACAGGTTTCATTTCTTATCAAATTCAGTGTTAACATTCTTTAAGCTTTTGTAATATTGGAAAATCTGCAAGATGAAGATTTCTGTGTGTTGTGAGTAAAGACTTGTGCAAACAGGCCCCATGCCTGCAGACTAATGTAAATCAGCATACAGATCTAAACTGCAGAGAAGACCCTTTAACCACTGTTTTCTTTTGCCCATACATAGGAAATGACCAACTGACAGACGAATGACTAAGCAAAGCATTCCTTATTTATGCACATATGAAGTTGACTTTCTAGGGCCCCTGACAACCACAGGGGTCAGTGGTTTAATTCTACCATGTGTATTCTGAGTAATCTAACAAAAACAATAGCAGTTTTCTGCTTATTTAGTGCACACCTTCAATGAGTTCATCGTTCTACACAACAAATGGAAGGTTGAGTGCCTGCTGTATATATATACATTTATACATATATATATATATATGGATGAAGGAACTAAATGCACCATTTGCTAAACAGATTAGACCAGGAGGCTGATTTGTGACAATGCAGTGCCTTTTAAAAATAGCTCCAGCCATCATCCAGCCATCAACATCATCCAACTGAAGCTTTGTGACTGCACAGAGCTCCAGTAAAAACAGAAGCTGGGCTGTGTGGAGTAGTTTGAAGCTCTGGAGCTGTAACTGAAGTGATGCCTTAGTTTTAACAGGGTGACAGGAAGTGGTGAGTCAGCCCCCTGGGAGGGAAGCTGTAGTCACTGGCCACTGCCTTCCCTTTTGCTTAAATAAAAGAACAATGTCAATGTTTCTCTTCTTTGTGAAAAGCTAGTACATATGTCTCACCTGATACAATCATCAAAATAAACTTCCCATGTTCTGTGTTTTCCCCCAGGCTTTTTGCAGCGTGTGTCATTGTTTTAAATGCTTATCTCTTCTCCAAGTGCCCAAAGGCCATGTGTATCTATGGAGACTGTGTGTCACTTTCTTGAGCTCGCAGAGTCAGGAAAGAGATGCTGACTCTGCCCCATCCGTGTCTGTCTGTGTTCGGAAGTATTCTTGAAGAAGGTAACTGCAGGTGAATTATGTAAAGTCTTGCTATGCGGCTTTGTCAAGTCAGAAACTATATGCAGGGCCTGTGTTATGGCTTATTGTTCGCTAACAACCAAGCACAGGCTGGTCTTAGTTGCAATAGGAATGAGGCCGTCGTGCTCTTGATGCCGAAAAGTCAGAGAAGGAACTCTCTAGACTCGTTTTGAGTATAGAAAGCCAGAAAGCACACACGTTTATTGCAGCGCCAGGTGCTTTGGAAAAAATCCCAAAGGATACACCCCAAATCACATGGGTTTCATAAATTTATACAAATTTCTAACTACAGATTCAGAGATTACCTCATCTGTCCCACCCCATTCTCCCCCACAGTATGCCCCCCTCAAATCACTTGTGTTTCTCTTGACTCCTTGGTTCTGGTGTGGTTTCCTGCCTTCTGGACCTGGTTCAAGGCCTAAACCCAGTCTTGTCTTGGCTGTTTCGTCTTCTTTCTTGCTTTTATCAGTCCCTCCACAGGTGCAAGCATCCGCCTCTGTTTTATCGAAATTCTTGCCTATAATGAATCTTTACAAGAAATTATAAACTTGCCCTTGAGAACTTCCAACCTTACTAAAAAACATGAGTTCTGTAGCTAACACTCTCCTTTTAAAATGCTTAGTCTGCAATACATTAATTCTATGGCTAACAATTTCTAATAAAGTGCTTAATTTTACACCTGCACTCTCAGAAGCAGCCTGGAAACCTGCTTGTCAGTAGTGAGCCTACGGCTGACAGCTGAGTGACAGTAGCCATGAGCAAAGTGAAAGCTCCCATCAAAGTTATTGTGTGACTTCCAAAAACAGGACTTATGCTCTGAAACTACCCAACTGCTTTGGAAGTACTTAAACTGTGGTTTAACAGTTAACACCCAGAGAGGGTGTGGAGTCTCCCTCACTGGAGATATTCCAGAATGATCTGGACACAATCCTGTGCCGTGTGCTGTAGGATGGCCCTGCTTGGGCAGGGAGGTTGGACAAGATGACCCACTGTGATCCCTTCCAACCTGACCCATTCTGTGATTCTGTGGGTCAGTTTACAGAATTATCACAAATGGTGCTTTTTATTATAAGGTTGTTTTTAATTTCCATACTCTCTATATTCATTTTTCTGCTAAACGGCCATCAAAAGGAGACAGTTAAGGATATGCTTTAGAGGTTCTGGTATGAGATTATTTCAACCATGAAAAACAATATCACATGTAAAGGTTACACTAAAATCAGCTGTGTGCAGACAAAGCTATCTTATCGTGAATAGCTGCTAACTGTGCTTGTGGTTGTTGGGAGAAATAGCACCAAGCTCACTGTACAGATTGTGATACTTCTGGGGTTTGGGTTGGTTTTTTTACAGGACCTGAGAGCTGCCTTTAAAGATCACGAACATGTTTATTAATTCATTAGAAGGAAAATGCTCAGTATCACTGCATATAGAAAATGTAGTAAAAACCATTCTTTTACACAGATTATTTCATTGTTATTACTTCACATAGGTTGCTAATAGCAAAGACAGTTTAAGAATGCTTTCAAATGAAGAAAGAAGTTCAGTATTTTCTCCTGTGCCATCACCCCCTCTGTTTTCTCTTCTGTGACCCTGGTGCTGTCTATTATACAGTACAAGTACACAATGTGAGAACTCCACAATTTGTAATCTGGATAATCTTTGGAGTACAAGGAGC